CCCCTCCGGGCCGGGGTTGGGAGGAGCGCGAGCGCGGAGGGAGCGAGCGTGCGTGGGGGCGCGTGCGTGGTGCAGCGCGCGCGCCCCCGCCCCAGCAGAGGGGTGGGGAGCGGCTAGAGGAGAGGGTGGAGAGGAAAACCTCGGTGTGGAGATATTGGGTCTTTCCTCTGCCGTTCTTCAATGTCTTGGCATTTCTCGTTTCCTCAGGGGTCTTTGACTGGTGGGGTCGATGGCATTTAAGGGAGAAGGGGTGCCTCCCTTCAATAGGAGAGGAGGCCCCACATAATTAGGCTCCGCCCACAGAGGTGATGTCACTCTCGAGGTGGCCGCTGCTGTCACGTGCACCCACTTCAAGGCCTGTCCTCCTGCTTTGATGGCCAGAACGTTCCTCTAGATTTCCCCTACTTGAATCCCCTTAGGCTCATATCACCCCTACAGCCACTGAACCCTGCAAGTATCAGTCATTCTGTCCCTGATTCTCAACTCTAATCTGTAGACTGATTCAAAATGCCACTATTGGCTGTGGTGGGAATCAGAATGAGGTACAAAACCAGCAAGGGGGAGGGAAGTGGGGTAGACAAGAGGTACGTGTAATGGAGAGGGAGGAGGGAGATTGTTATCTAGAACGATTGCTGAAAATTCAGCAACCACAGCTTGAGAGCCTGAAGTAAAGTAGTGACGTTGCTTCTGTCACTGCCAAGTTGGGTAAGAAGTAATGTAGTTTTAAGAGTTAGTCTGCAAGGCATGGCGAGCCACCCCATGAAAGCCTCATTGAAGGCTATTAGGTCGTATTTCCCCATTACCCTCCGCCTCAGTCTTCTTTCTCTTTATTATTCCTTTCCCTCGAATCATAAAACAGCAAGTCAACTGTAGAAGATATTTGGGACATAAATTTTTCGTGTGCTGTAAGAGGATGCAAAGCAGTCACTATTACATTCTCTGCCTAGCTAGTCTTCACTTCCATAAATGGAGACGACCTTTCATGGCTATCGCTGCCTAATGAGAGACCATGGTTGGTAATAAAATCAAAAAACCAAACACGTTGCTGTCTGGTAGATGCCAACTCATAGCGACCCTGTAGGACGGAGTAGAACTGCCCCATAGGGTTTCCAAGGAGTGGCTGGTGGATTCGAACTGCAGCTAAGCTCTTAACCACTGTGCCACCAGAGCTCCTGATTGGTAATACCCCACACACTGCCATCTCGTTGATTCCGACTCATAGCGACCCTATAGGGTTTCCAAGGCTGTAAATCTCTATGGAAGCAGACTGCCACATCTTTCTCCTCGGGAGCTGCTGGTGGTTTCCAACTGCCGACCTCTTGTAAGCAGTTGAATGTTTTAACCACTGCACTACCACAGCACCTTCCTGATTGATAATAGATGCACCAAATTACATCAATCAAGGAGTCTGTGTCTGTGGGCCTTCTTCTAAGGTAAAGAGGATGGTTGGTTTGAATCAAGCCCATCCAGGAGCACTTCATCCAGGAGTTTAAGTTGTTTTGCTTGTTTGTTTGTTTTTAAATTAGTATTAATTTCAGAACAATACGAGAAATTGAATATGAAGCCATATCCAACTATTGGTCTCTACAGTGAGTGCTTCAAAAGTTAGAGCTAGTCAGGATCACAACAGAGGGTTCTGGGCAGAGCTGGAGAAGGATGTAGA